GATAAGACTGCAAAAAACATGGCGATCCATGACTTTAAGAACGACAAAGGAAAAATCTGCCCAGCAGAGCAGGTGGGGAGGAGAATTAGGAAGGAAACCTGAAGTGGAAAAGCATTGCTCCAAGTAAAGGAAGTTCATAGACCTAACAAGCTTTGCTATTGCCTGAGAATGTGATATGGCAAAGGGAAGTGGATTGGGTAGGATCTTTTTGTTAGTAGGGGTGGTAACAAGGCAAGGTAATAAAGAAGCCACAGAATAAAGTGAATTATCATGAAGGGGACACTGTTTCATATTCTAATATTAATGTACCTTATTGTGCACTTATGTAATGGATAATTAGCTGAACTCTGGAAATAGAAAAAATTAAGATATGGAGTCCTGTTTATCATGTAGAAGACACATAAACAAACAAGAGGCTTGACAGAAATATGCACAAAATATATGGGAGTCACAAAGAATTAGGAAATCTTTCTAATGAAAATGACATTCAAATTGACTCAGAAAAATATAAAGAATGAATTCTGAGTCTAACAAAATATGGGTGGTACAGAGAAAGGGAAAGGCTTCAGGGACCTAAAAATAGTTTAGGGGTAGTAGAGGGGCAAGGAGGAACAAATGAAGCCAGGGAACAAAATATAGAAGTCTCATACATGGCTCTAAGGACTATGAACTTCATTCTACAGTCAAAAGGGCCATTCACAGGTTGATAATCAAGGAGGCATCACAGGCAATTTCACTTTTTAGAAAGAATACTATGATGGGAAGAATGGTTAGAGAGGCAGAGATTTGGAGGCAAAGATCTTTTCATCTCCACAAAATCTACTTCCCTATTTGCTATCATTTATCTTTTATTTTGCTCTTTAAATTATTTATAATGTAGGTTTCTCATAGAAGAGAAACCAGGGAATACTTAACCTTCCATGTCTGATTTATTTAACATCTCATTCCTACAAGACTCAAAATGTATTTTTTTGTGTGTCTGAGTAATACTTCATTGTGTATATATACCAAAGTTTTAATGCATTCATCTGTTGATGGGTCTATAAGCTGCTTCCAAGAGTTAGCTATTGTGAGTTAGGCCCCTATACACATGGAAATGCATGCATCACCATAATATGATGCCTTTAACTTTCAAGAATATACACAGGAAAGGTACAGCTAGGTCAAATAGAATTTCTATAACTCTTTTTTTTTTTTTTAAGAAATCCCCATAGTGATTTTCATAGTAGTTATACTTGATAATAGCCATTTGTTAAGGTTTGTGTCTAGGTGTCCCCGCAAAACCTCATGCAGCCATGGGGCAGGCTTTTAGAGTTTGATTGATTATTGGTGTGAGAGCTACACTGCCCTGGGGTGGATAGTTTGCATATGTAAGGGAGAGAAAGAGGGTGCTTCTGGCCATTTCCTCCCTTGTGTGTGTGCTTGTTGCTTTGGCTGTGTTCTGCTGCCATCAGCTATAGCTCTCTGCCATGTGCCAGTCTGCCTTGTAATCTGCCAAGTATGGACTGAAACCTCCACAAACTGTAAGCGAAATAAACTTTTTCTTCCTTAATTTTGGGCATCAGGTATTTTGTCCCAGCAATGAGAGAAAAGTAACCAAGACACCGTTCTTTGTGGAATAAGATGGAATCCCAGTGTTGTTTTGATTTGCATTTCTCAATGGCCAGTGAAGCTGAACATTATTTCGTGTACCAATGGATCATTTATACAGCATCTATTAGAAGTGTCTATTCATTTGAGTAGTTCATTTCTTGATTGGAGCTTTTGTTTTGAGGGTCTAATTTTTTTAGTTATTTATATATTCTAGAAATTAATCCTTTGTCTAAGGAATAGCTGGCCCAAAATTCCTCCATTTTGTAGCATGTCTCCTCCTTCTGTTGGTTGTTTCCTTTGCTGCACAAAAGATTTCTAATTTGATATAATCCCATTTGTTTATTCTTTGTGTTATTTCCTATACAACTGGGGTTCTGTTCAGAAAGTCCTTGCCTATGCCCATGTCTTGAAGAGTTTTACCTACTTTATCTTCCAGCATAATTCTCCAAACCCTGAAGTCGACTTGAATTTCTTGAGACTCCATTTCCTATAGAACCATTGGCCCCAGTCATCTCATGTCCAGCAATAGGGCTCTCCTTAAATGAGCACTTCTCAGTTCCAGCTTCTACAAAAGCTGTGGTTTGCTGCTGGCTTTTCATTTTCTACCTTCAGAACCAAGGATTTTATATCCAGCACAACTGATTCTTGACTATAAACTAGAAGAACTTCCTGCTAGAAACTAAATGTTTCTGTCCCCACCAAATTCATGTGTTGTAATCCTGTTCCCCAGTGTGATTGTGCTAGAAGTGAGGCTTTTTGGAGAAAGCCCTCATGAATATGATTAGAGCCCTTATCTTAAAATTTTTTAAATTTTTTAAAAAGACTCAAATGGCAGTGCACACCTGTATTCTCAGCTCTCTGGGAAGTTGAGACAAGAGCATCACAAGTTTGAACTCCTCCTGGGAAACTTCATTAATGAATGATAACTTTTCTCAAAGTGAAAATAAAAAAGCTGGAGATTCATCTCAGTGCAAAAGCCCTTGGCACAATCCCCCCTGGGCTGAGGGGTCAGTAGACTTCCCTTGCCTTCTTTCTACAATTTGAAGAATTAGTAAGAAGAGGTATCAAAATATCAAAAGCCCTCATCAGAGCCTGACCATGCTGGCATCCTAAACTCAACTCCCACCTTCCAAACTATGAGATTACGTTTCTGCTGTATATGAGCTACCCAGTCTTTGTTAATATTTTTATAGCAGTGCAAACAGACTGAGACATTCCCCTAAACACTTCCTGAGAAACCTATGAAAATGAATCAAATAACCACAATGACTATGCCACTAGTTCACAAACTAGTTGGCATAGAGAGAGATAGCTTAAAAATTGAGACTCTTAAAGAACTTTAGTGAACAACAAAAGATGATTAGACCTTTTAAAAAAAGGATGAAATCTTATCATTTGTTATAACATTGACTGAACTGGTGATCATGAAGTGAAGCACAGACATAAGTGACAATAAATCAGGCATAGAAAGCCAAATACCAAAGGATCTCACTCATCTTTGGAATCTAGAAAATGTTGATCTCATAGAAGCTAAAAGTAAGATGGTGATTACCAGAGTCTGGGGAGAGTAGTGGATGGAAAGGATGGAAAAACTTTAGCCAACAGGTAATAAGTTATAGTTATGTAACAGAAGTAAGTTCTGGTGTTTTGCTACATGGCAGGGTTACTGCAGATGATGACAATTACACTATATAATCCAAAAAAGCTGAAAGAAAGGATTTTGATATTTCACCATAAAGAAATAATAAATATTTGAGAAAATTCTATGATTATATTGTGTATACATGTATAAAAATATCATATGGTATCTCAAAAAATATGTACAATTTTAGGTCCATTAAAGTTTTTTTTTTAAAGAGTAAAAGAAGGATAACATAATAATAGGGGGGGCTTACCAAATTACAGACAAAATGGTAGGAAATTACCAATGGTTATTGTTTTACATGTTGTTATCTACAAGACAGTTTCTCAGGAAAACAAATAGACAAATAATAGTGAGTTACAGACAAAAGAAGTAGGAGATTATCAATAGTTGTTGTACTATACTTTGGTATCTTCAAAGTGGCTTCTAAAGAAAATAAATAGAGCTATACATGAGTGACCTATTGAATAATCATTAACTTTTCTCAA